TCCCTGTGGTGCTCGACACGGGATGAGAGCAGATGGAAAACAAGTATTTTACAGTCTAGAGCACAGATCCTGAATGCTTTCAATAAAGAAGAAAATCTTCTAATTCTTCACCTAAGCCCATTCCCATCATCCCCTCTCACACTTTCCCCATTTTATGTTGCCCCTGGCTGTACACCCCATGAGTTCAAGCTTCCTGTCCCACAGCCTCATGATAGTTCTCCTCTTTTAGAAATTTTCTAAAWTAATTACCAAGTTCTGTTACTAGGATCTTCTGACACTTGGCAGGGTACCCTGGAAGGATTCATCCTCCCTTGATGGATCTTTTAAAAKCTTAGATACATTAGAGTAATAATGTATTAACATACATGATCTGTAACAAAGTCATCAAAACAGGAGGTTGCAAGTACCCAGGAAATATCAGACAACTAGGGAGAATTTCTGGACTGTTAGTGGACAGCAACTACTCTGCTATTTTTATTAGAACATGAGAAAAGGGGTATTTCTAAAATACAAAGTCATCTKTCACTGTCCTGCTCAGACTGAAGCCCAGGTCCTCCCTGGCTCCAGCCAGGACTTTCTCTGCCATGCAGGATGGACACTGCAGCTCATGCTTTGTCACTGTGCCCTTCCACGGGCCTTCGTGTTTTTGGACTCTTCCCCCTTTCTTTGTTTCTCAGAGCCACAGRATGGGTGCTCTGACCTCAAATTTGCACTGGAAAATTTTCCATCTGCCCGGGGAAGGTATTTGGCTGATGTTGTCCCACCGGTGTCAATCCCCAGGTGTCGTCTCCGCGCTCTCGGTAGGGCAAAGAGCAACGCGCAGATAAAGGGGATTGAGCAACGCAGCGCTGCAAAGGCCGAGCCTGCTGGGTCAGAGGTGAGAGAAAACCAGCAGAAGAGCAACAAAAACCATGTCACAGCCATCACCGTGTCCCATGGGAGCAGGGTGAGGAGCGCTCGGGGGGAGGACGCGGCTCTGGAACAAAAGAAGCGAAGGAGTCCAGGAGCCACAGGCTGTGACCGCCCCGGGGAGCGCCGTGCCCCTGGGACTGCCAGCACAGAGGGGCAAAGATGTGGCAATCCCTTCTCATGTTCAAATGAAGCAAAGGCTCCAGCCGGGTCTAAGAGCTGGGGCAGACAGAAGGAGAGCCAACCTCTCTCTGAGTTGAGACATTGTCCCTGTCTGACATTTCGTAAGTGCTGTTTTTTACAGCAGAGAACGGCAAGTGGAGAGCAATCGTTTCAAACCCGGGCTCTGCCAGGTACGACTCGTGAGTTGTTGTTGGCATRTTGTTGTTGTGCAGCTGAATAAAGAGGGACCTGGGGCAAGGGAGAAGGGAAAAAAAACGCTCAACATGCTCAGAAATAAATTTCAATTTTACTTCTCTATTTTTACGGCCTTTATTGCAACATTGCTCTACTTGAGTCAGTCTTTTAGGCAAGGTCCCCTCCTAACCCCCAGAGACCTTCCCAAACCACCTCCCTGCGCTCTCCCAGCCTGTTTGATGCAGGGACACTGCACTGGATCCATCCCATTGTCCCCTAGCTCACCTCCAAACTGTCACAGCATCGCAAAAAACTGCTGCAGTTGTCAGCTGCTGGCACCACCACCTTTCCCCACCACCCTGCTCTGCCCCTCCGTGCTGCTCCTGGCACCACCACCTTTCCCCCTGCCCTCCTCTGCCCCTTTTGCCAATTCCTGGCACCACCACCTTTCCCCCCTGCCCTCCTCTGCCCCTCTGTGCTGCCCCAGCTCTGCAGGGAGGATGAGAAGCTCCACTGTGGATCAGTTCTGATCCTACTGACCTGCTAAGAACAACTGCCAGGGAAATAATAAACGGGACARAACTGCAGCGAGAAAATCAGAAATGTCAGCCAGCGTCTTTCTAGGCTATGACCCTCAGTCCAGAGACCTTCTGATAAACATTTCAGTGTTTGAGCCATCAGCACTAAACTAATAACATCTCCCAAAGCTGGTGTCATTCCAGAGACAGCTGCTGTAGACCTGGAGTGCGTGAACTGGAAAGCTCGCAAGAAATCCTGGAAAAAAAGACAATTTCCAGGAAGAAAATTCCTCTGCATTGCTTTATTGTAGGTCTGAGCCCAGAGCTGGAAAGTTGTGGCTTCTACAGCACAAAGAGAGAGCAAAATTRATTCATGACAGAGATGAACAGTGAGGATGAGATTCTTCCCTCCACCTTTTCACCACTCTGGTCTCCTCCTGTTCCCTCCCTGTGTCTGTATTGTTTCACACATGAATGTAGAAGAATCTGGATGCTATTGCATCAGATTTTTTTTTTCTCAACAATGTTACATTCTTACTAAGTAATTTGGGACTTTTGCTATCTCCTCCCTTAGCTGAATAGTTCTGAAAAAAAAAAAAAAAAAGAAATCATGGAATCACTAGAAGGAAGGTGCTTTTCACAGAAGTGCTGCTTTTCTAATGAAAATTGCTCTGTTGGGAGAAAAGCTGCAGAGGAGCTGCTGCCAGTGCCCGGGTTCCTTTACCAGGAATGTCTCCCTGTTGAAAGCATCTCTGAGGAGCTTTTAGGACAATTATCAATATCCTCTGCACATCCAGCAAGGCCAGGCCAGGCTCTCCCAGGGACAGAGCTCCTTGTGCCCAGAGCTCAGCTCAATCCTGTGCTGTGAGCCTCGCTCTGCACCTGTTCCCATTTCAAAACCCCCACTTCTGGCCAYGCATTTGTTGTGACAAGTGCAGAAATAATTGAAAAGAGACCAGAGTTAGCTCAAAACCTGCTTGCCAAACGCTGGGGTTTTGTCTAAGTGGTTAGTCCCGCCAACAAGGTTCCCATGAGAAGCTGAGAACGGACGTTGGCTCCATGAGAGTGGATGTTGGGGTTTGAGGTGAGCTGGAGGAAGTTGAAAGAGCTCCAGGTAGAGCAGGCAGGTGAGGGGGAGAAGGGAAGGAGGGGACATCCAACCTGAATTACCACCCAGCTGACGTGAGCGGGGTGACTGCGGGATTACTCAGCGCCGGCCGGGAGAGCAGGTGTGGGCCACACCAGCCCTGATAGAATCTCTTTCACATGACAGTTGCACAGACATTTTATTTTCTTAGGGAGGATTAACCCCAGCCAGGAACACAACTTTGTGCCGCAGAGCAGCAGAGAAAAGGGCGATAGAAATTTGAAGAGGGCAAACTTAGATCTGCAAAAATATCTTGAAAATCTGTTCAGGAATTTTACCAAGCAGCTTTTGCATTTGACTTTAGCCAAGGACTATGACACGCTGGAGACCTGCTGGGGTAATGCCAGGGCAGACCAAGGCTGTAGCAGGTCACACACGAGAGACCTCCTGTCCCTGCAGAGATGGTTGGGGGTAGGAAACACATGAGGCTGATTTTTCAGAGTTCAGTTGGAAGGGCCAGTTAGGGCAGCCRCTGGATGTAACCGCCAGATCAGAATGCAGGATAAAGCACAGGATGAGGAGTAAACAGCCAAAAGAACAAGCCCTGGCTCACTGCAACTTGCCAGCATTTGCACCCAATACAGATGTTCATATTTATGAAGCTATGGGCTCCAGCTATAATCTCCAGACCCAGCTCTCTGGCCAGGCCCAGCTCCAATTTAATCTCTAGTGCRTTCACCAAAGATTAACTTGGTAGATAAAGATGGAACTAGAAATATTTGAAGCCTGAAAACCCGTTAGGGGGCTTTTGTTATGGAAACAAACAAACAAAAAAAATCCTTTTAAAATGTGAAAATAAAAAGAAAAAGAAAAAAAAAAAGAGAAAGAAAAAGTCCAATGATCCTGGTCCACGGACTGATTCTTGAATTCTTCCTCTTTTCAGAGTTCTGAGGTTTGAACATTAAGAACAGTTGACTGTTTGAATCATATAATGCAATACCTGTTCCTCTGGCTTAACGTTACAATATTTCCCACACCGCAGGATTGCTTCACATTATTCTAAGAGTCAGTGTCATTTTCCCTGCAGTGCTAGGTCTTCTTTACTGAGGGAGGACACTCCTACTTCCTTTAATTATATGTTTTGTTTTAAATTAATGTCCTTTATTCTGGAGATGAATCATCAGCTTGTAGACAGGTAAATGTGGGAGTAAGAGAGTGAAAATATAAGTTTGATTCCCAAGGTGGGTGTCTTTAATTAAAAYGGACATCAAGAGTCAGTCTTCCTTCCCAAATTTACCCCGCAAATCTAAGAACTTTTGGATTCCATGTTCCAATGCACGAATCTTTGCTGTGAGCCCCGTCCCGTTCGGCTGCAGCACCCACTCCCTATCACGTATGCACCTGACAGTTGCACCATATCACCCAAAGCAAATATGCCAAGACAAACTTTCAGCCCCCAGAAGCGCTGGTTTTGCTGGACTCTGGCTGCTCGCAGTGGCCTGGAGGAACCTGGGGCAGTGCTCGGCCCTGGGCTGGCCGCTGGAAAGTGGCTCTAGGACTGTGTCCCTGTGGACACTGCTGCTTGCCAGGGGCATTCACCAAACCAGCACGGCATGGAGAGTAACGGGATCCSTCTCTGGTTTGCAGCTTTCCCCCTGATTTGCCAAAAGAACTCGGAAAAATCTCTCCTGCCTTGATTTCCCCGAGGGTGAAACGGGACCCGGGACGATGTGTGCCCAGCCCGATGTGTGCCCAGCCCCTTGCGGCGTTGCCAGCCGCTGGCACTGCCTCGCTCTGCGGTGCCAAAGCAGAGCCCGGGCGGGCACGGGGCRGCAGCAGCGCCTGGCACAGCGTGTCCCCGCGGCCCCGGGACCGAGCACTGCCCGCTGCCATCCCGGCCGAGCCAGCCCCGGCCTCCCGCACCTGCGGACCCGCAGCTCGGTCCCTCCCTCCGTCCCTCCGCCCCTGCCCGGTTGTTGTGGGCGGCCCGGCGGGCACCGCACGGCGCACCCGCCCCGGGAGCCTCCTCCGGGGCCGGGACAGCAGTTCCCGAGCGTGCCGAGTGGCAGCCGGCCAGGCGGTGACGCGCCTGTTGCTATGGGATCCACCGCCCCTATAAATAACTGAGCAAAGGAACTTTCCTAAGTCAGAGACTTTAGGACACGGGACCCAGAACCAGATGGTCCGGAGGAGACGCGCCAGCCCCCGCCRCAGCTGCCGGAGCGGTGAAGCCCCGCCGCGCCACAGGGACTGATCCAGGCCGGGCGGGCAGCGCCGCGGGGCCGTGCCCAGGCCAGAGACTGCGGCAGGGTCTGGAGCCCCCCACCCCGACGGCGGCAGCTTGACCCTCTGCCGGGGGGGCCCCCCTGCGTCCTTTCCTCCTCCCCGCATCCCCCTTTGCTTTCATGCAACGCCTGGTGACCTGGGACGCACCATGCCTCCCCATCCAGCCGCCCGCCTTTAAATCCATGGAAGTGGCTAATTTCTATTACGAGGCGGACTGTCTGGCTGCTCTCAACAAGCTGCACCCGCGGGCGGCCGGGGGCCGCTCCATGACCGAGCTCACCGTCGGGGACCACGAGCGAGCCATCGACTTCAGCCCGTACCTGGAGCCTTTGGCATCGCAGCCGCCGCCTCCMGCGGCAGCAGCAGGGGGCAACTTTGAGCCTCCGTGCAGCAGCGGCGCCGGCCAAGATTTCCTTTCCGATCTCTTCGCCGAGGACTATAAAGGCAGCGGCGGCAGCAAGAAGCCCGACTACACCTACATCAGCCTCGCCCGGCACAGCCACCCCTGCGCCAGCCAGAGCCACAAGCCGGGGGTGCTGCCGGGCTGCTTCCCGCCCCAGATCGTGGAAACCAAAGTGGAGCCGGTCTTCGAGACCCTGGACTCTTGCAAAGGGCCCCGTAAGGAAGAAGGGGGCGCGGGGCCGGGACCGGGGGGCATGTCCTCGCCCTACGGCAGCACCGTGCGCTCCTACCTGGGTTACCAGTCGGTGCCGAGCGGCAGCAGCGGGAACCTCTCCACCTCATCCTCCTCCAGCCCCCCCGGCACCCCCAACCCCTCCGAGTCCTCCAAGTCCGCTGCCGCCGGCGGGGGCTACTCCACCGCCCCGGCGGGCAAGAACAAGCCCAAGAAGTGCGTGGACAAGCACAGCGACGAGTACAAGCTCCGCCGGGAGAGGAACAACATCGCGGTGCGCAAGAGCCGCGACAAAGCCAAAATGCGCAACCTGGAGACGCAGCATAAAGTCTTGGAACTGACGGCCGAGAACGAGCGGCTGCAGAAGAAGGTGGAGCAGCTCTCCCGGGAGCTGAGCACCCTCAGGAACTTGTTCAAACAGCTGCCCGAGCCCCTGCTCGCCTCCTCGCCGCGCTGCTGACCCCCGGCCGGGCGAGGGGCGAGCGGAGCTCCTGGCCCCTCTCCGCGCTCCTGGGGCCGGGGCGAGGGGGACGAGAGCCCGCGGCGGGCGGGCGGCTTTGGTTTCAATTTGTGTTGCTGTTGGATTATTTTTTTTTTTTTTTTTTTGTCTCTGTCGACATGTTGGCGGAAGGCTCCGCCGCCGCGCGGGTCGGAGCGGGGCCGGGGCTGAGCGGGGCGGGCGGCGCGGAGGGGGCGCGGAGAGACCCCGGCCCCGGCCCGGGCGGGCTCTGCTGGGCGCTGGGTTATTTAAAAGAGCGAGAGGAGAGCAAGGGCAAAGTGATGCAATCCTTTAAGCATGGCTGGGAATGCTGTGTACATGATGCAATCTCGTGTAACTGTCAGTCATGGATTGAGTAATCTGTTAAAGATGTTCCTACAGTTTTTTTATTATAAAGAATAATCTATTTCTATAAGAAAATACATATGTATATTTTGGGATCTATGCATTCTTGCTACATTTGAAGCATTAATGAACAATTTTAATAAACTTTATGACTAGGTTAAGAAAAAGTAGCTTGTTTTATTTTGAAGGCATGTTTAAAGTTAAATTAAACACAGGGCTGAAATTCCAGCTTTGGCTCGATGCTGCGATCAGGAATAGGGATTTTTGTTGCTCTTTTAGCTTCCTCTGACTCAGAGAAAGCAAAAAAAAAAATCCCGACAACCAAAACCAAACCCCAAAACCCCCAAGAGAAACTCAGCAAAGAGCAGAGCTGGAAGTCTTAGCCAGTTGTTGTTGCTGCATTTTATTTCCTCTAATCACCTGCTTTAGCTGCCGCTTGGGTGTTGTTTGGGGAGGAGATGTTTGTGTTGGGGTTTTTTTCTGCACTTCATGCTGTTTTGAACGTGTAGAGCAAGATGTGCTATCCAAACCATGACCAATCCTTGGCAAACAAYACCAAGTCTGAAGTGGGAGGGAGGAAGAAAAAGTGAGGGAGGAAGCCTGAAATGAGGTTTTGTTTGTTTTTGTTTTATTTTTTTTCTTTACAGAGTTTCTATCCTCTATGATCCAGCAATTCTTATGTTTGTAGTTTACAGGAATAAACATGAGAAAGTAGCATTTCTGTTGGATGTGGGTAATTTTGGCATTGTACAGGAAGCTCCCATGACACCCAACCAGGTGAGAGGCTCATGAACCACCCCCTTCCCTTCGCTCTCAAGATATTTTTATAAAAATTAGATAGAATTATCTGATGAGAGGTTTTTGCTGGGGCAAGCAACAAATAAGTGAGGGGTGGCAGGGGAGGAGGAGGTTTTATAGCAGGCCAGGACTTTGTTTTGGAGARATCCAAGGTTCTGCCTGCTCTGGGACAGGCCAGCCCTGCCAGAGCTCCTGGCTGTGCCATTCCCTGCTCTGCTCAGGTCTGGAAGGAGTGAACAGTCCCAGGCTGATTGCACAGAGGGAGTYGGGCGAAAGATCAGGTCTTAGTCAGCATTTTCCATTTCCCTGTTAGGCCAAATTTAAGTGTGAAGTTTTTAGATCCAGATTCCCAATGCCCCGGGAAAGGAACTCTTTAACTGCCCGTGCTCTGACAGCTGAGCACAAAACGGGGTTCAGTATAAAAGCACTGGCCTTGAATTTGTTCCTCTACATTTGAACATAAACAGCCAGGGGCTGCAGGGCAAATCWGAAATTTGTTGCTTGTTTCTAGTGTCTCTTTAAGCAAAACATGTTTTCTACTGAAAGAACTGTTCTGCTTTTTTTGCCTCTSAAGAACGGAGCCTCCTGCGGGTCCGTCAGCTGGAGCTCTCCCCGACATTCCCTGCCCATTCCCTGCTCCCCTGGAGCTGTGCAGTGGGAGCAGGGCAGCATTAGCCCTGATAAGGATTTCCCCCGTTTGCTTTTCCATTTGTACAGTGCACTCCAGTTGTTTTTACGAGCCCCCAAAATAGATTTCTGGGTGAGCTCGCTCCTGCACCAGCATGACTCAAGTTCTTGCAGGCACGACAGACGTTGGATCTTGTCTCTTGTCCCTCGTGACCGTGATTACTCCAGCCTCCTGTGGCTGTTTRTTCTACTCTTTGGATCATTACGAAACTTATCCACATGGTTAGATCCTATTTTCTTGTGTCCTGGAGGCCACACAAAGTCGCCCAAACTCACAAGCAGAGCCGAGTGTGCCCAGGGGAGAATTGCTGGAGGACTGGAGATGTCCTCTGATACATTTCTCTCTTTCTTTCTAAATAACAAAGCTTCCAACAAGAGTTCAGTCTGTGGGGGCTGAAAGGCAGGATAGATTGAAAGATAAGATGTACTGAAGGTATTTATAWGTGTTTAAATAATAGTCCAGTTTTGCAGATAGAGCTCGAGCAGGCATGAAGGAGCTAATCCCCATCCTTAAACTCTGCCTGCCCAGCCCAGGACTGCCAGGGCGGCATCGCTGCAATTTAAAGAATGATGTTTGAATTACTGCTGCATTCCAAGCTATCTCCAAATTAGGATGACAGATTTCTCGTTCAGGAGGAACCTTGTGCAGCAATGATTTTTGTACAGACAGGAAAATGGAGGCCATTAATGCACCGATTTTACACTCGTCTCAGAAGGAACCCGTGAAAGACTTGGACAGACAATTCCCCCATCCTTCATTCTTAATCTTGTGTGACCCCCATAACTTACACTGTAAGAGCTTTGTAGTGCCATTAAATGCACAGAGGTCGTGAAATACTCTGCCTTCTAAAACAACATATGAAAAAGGCCCTRTAATTAAAACATTTCCTAGAAAATRGTYTGGAAAAAATAGTTTGTACATTAAGCTGAGAAAATTCCAAGCACTATAGTAGACAAAAGATTCCAAATACCTTTTCTAATTGCAGTGGGGGGATTGGAAAATCCCTGTCCAAACAGTGTCTCAGCTCCAAATATTGATTTAGTTTCCTTTTTCAAATAAGATTTTGCTGGCTGAGAACAGGACTCGGAATGTCTCAGTTGGCCTCGGACAGGACTTCCCGAGCTCCTCTTCCTAAAGCCACTCAGGACAAACCATGCAGAGAACTCCAGGCACCAGAGATCTGTCTTCAGTTTTATAGAGGTTTATAAACAGCATTTAAATTTGGCTTTTAGCTTTATCTTTCTTTTCAAATGGTGTATTACACTAGCTCATTTCTACAGGGCTTTCTTATAGTTACAAAACCACTGGGACACTGATATCCCCTTTCCAAAGCACCTTGCACTGGTTTAGAAGGTGTTCGAATTTAGAAGTGCTTAGTTCTGCAAAGTGAATCGTATCTARCAGTTAAAAATATATATATTTAAAAATACAATTATAATTTTGTTAGCACAGTTATCACTGTCTGTTATCTGCCCAAAGCAYGTGGAACCCAGTGCAGCTCTGATGYTSTGGTGTTGCTTTTCTGCTTTTCYCWCTGCCTTCCATTGCTGAGYCGTGGGAGATGCAGGGGAATTTTTRMATCTTGCTGTACTAATTGTTCTTCCTCTGTCAAATAAAAATCACCCAAATTGCACCCAAGGGCTGTTGGATGGAGACTCAATCACAGTTGATAACAGTGTAATTTTTCCTCACTGGAATCCTGCAGTAGCCTTCAGATACACAGAGTGTGAAAAAAGCTTTGTGCACAATGTTTAATTACACTTTGCAGTTTAATTGTGTGAACAACTGTGCATGTGTGTAAAACCATGACGTTACTCTTACACGAGTTTTCATTAGCTGTGACTGAATGAAAGTCAATGCAACTCCATACCTGCTCTAATAAAGAGAAAAGCTCTGTCTGAGCCCAAATCACTCATGTTCTTTTGTCATTATAGTGATAATGCTCAATTGCCATCATCTTGTCTTGCATGTGTTCAATGACCCAATGTGAGTCCAAAGCAGAGCTCTGAATTCAATTTGGGCTGGATAGAGATGATTATAGGGTAGAAAGGGGGAATGAATGTGGAACAGTTTGTTTCTAACTCCTTTTTCTCCTGGCTCCTTTTGTTAAAAAGAAGTTATTACTACTTTCTGAGTGCTGGGTTTTTGCTCTTTATGTCTTCACAGATRTTTAACAGCCAGARTTKTAGRGTAAACCTTGCATACTAATGTGAAATGTGAAGGAAAAGTTAAACATATGCATGGATGTCGAAAGGGTCCTAGTACATTAAATAAAAAAGCCAAACAAAATTAGGGATCTACTGACTGCTCCCAAGGAAACAATTGCATTCAGATTCTGAACACCATTTTTTAATCAATCAATAAAGCAAATATAAAACCATGTGGCCAAACCAAGACATTAAATCTGTGAGGAATTAGGTCTCTTTTGAGAGACACTTGCTGAACAGAAAGTGAAATCATTAAAAGACTTAAATTCTATTGAGCACTTTACCGGGATCCAAAACATAGCCTGGGAATTTAATCTTTGCAAAGTAAAGCTGAACTTTGGTAGAAAGTCTACACCTGGACAAKATCCTGAGGTTTTTCTGGAGTTCCTGATTCTTTCAAGTGAGCTGAAGCTGCTTTGGCCCAGCCTGGGCAGACGAGCAGAACAATCCATGGTGAGTGTGTAAAGGTCTAAAAAGATTAGACCCAGCCTTGGATTGCCGTCAAGATCCCATGAAATTCGTGTGCTGGGATTTCCTGATGGGAAACTCGGGRAACTCGGTGAGAATTTCTCCTGGAGCGCTGCTGGGGGTGCTCAGAGCTGCAGCTCCAGGGCTGGCACAGCCCTCGTTCCCACAGCTCC